AAGGTAATGTCTAAAAATCTGAAAACACAAAGAGGATTTTTTATTTATTTATTTAAAACCAGAAATAAAACTTTTTTACACAAAAATAAAAATATGGTGTAAAATAAAAAAAGATTTCCATATAGATACATTTGCTGTTTACATAAAGTTACTTTTTAAATCTTCAAAATGAATATTTTTTTAAACCATTGTAAATTCATGTAGCATTTAAAATGATTGGGTTTTAGTTTTTCATGTTTTATTTATTTATTTAGAAGAAAAAAACTGTAAAAATTCAATATCGACCATGACATGAAAATTATTATTGGCTTATCTCATTGGCCAGAATTTAAAGATTGTTACATCCCTAATCTCAAATCGGGTTTTATGTCAGCTTATATGCTTATGTCATTAAAACCAAAAGGAGATCGCACACATGCACATATTTCAGATACCACTTGTTTATATATAGCCAGCTATACATCCATGTGCAAAAATTCCCTCTATAGTTATTGGAATACCAACTTAGAGCTGTTAATGGCATTCTCTCAATTCCAGCATTCAGACCACCAGTGTTCCCAGCTAGACTGCAACATGCAGTACAGTACAGTATTGTGAAATATTTGATGTGAACATTCAATGTCGTAACTAACTACTACACAGTAGTGCACAGCATTCTTCCAACCAATAAATAACTTGATTTCAAAAGACATCTGTGGAGTGCAGATGCTGTGTATCACACACTCCTACAAAGAAGCATCATAGAGGAGGAACCCATTTTCAGCTTTAAGGGGTGCTTTTGGGCTACATTTCCAAATATTCCCATCTGTCAATCTCTTAATGTTTTGAATGCCCCTCATTCTTTCCACAGAATCTTAAAGAATGCCAAAACATCCAGAGACTTTGATTCAACATTAAAATCATTACCGTAACTCCCTTGAACGGTTCCATCTTAGAATCGTCCGCTATGGCGTTTATGAATGAAGAATGGCCTTTCTTTGCTTATCTCCACCCTCAAAATATGTGCAGGCCAAACACGATGTTACAGGGATCAGACTCAGAATTCCACTAATGTGAAAGGGAGGGTCGGCTCTGCACACGCCTAGTGACTGAGACCCTCATGAGGGGCTGACATATGTGGAATGGCCATCATTCTTCAGGCTCAAAGCCAACCCTGGCTAATGTTCACGATTCATAACTGTCACAGGAACTGTGAATGCCTTGTGTGAAACGGGAAAAAGTGTATAATGAGACATTCATGCTCGCATGAGACTCAAATCCAGGTGTTTTAACAATTACCCTGGATAATGACTTTGAGATTTGGAAAAATCATCATTCTGACAGCTGAGATGCTCATAAGACTTCTACATCTTCAATCCAAAGCAAGCAAGAACAACGTAAAATCCTCCTACTTGAACAGATAGGATGGGATGATTGGTCCTTTGGGTTGGATCGCAAAAATGAGCGAGACAATAATTGGATTACATCCAATCAGTTGCTTTGGCTCTTCTGGAAAAGAGTAAAATGGGGAGAGATGGAGGCGGGTACATTTATCTAGGTCAAGGAAGCTTCATTTATTTAAAAAAAGCTTACACAGAAGAGCGCTTTCAGGCTCTTAAAGTAAATTACACTCCACAAAATACCCATCCCTGCCTCCCACGAGTCGTCTCCACTTCTCATTTAAGTTACAGAAGGACGTTGATCTTATTCAAGACCTGAGGAGCAGCTGACTAACAGAATGCTCTTTTAGCTGTTCATTAGGGAGCTGCAAAACCGTTTCTCCATCATGTGACACTTTTAGAGAAGCCTGTGGGTTGTGGGTCACCGCATGCATTTGCACCCGGCGATTACACCTCTGACAACAGTAGTCATTCCATAAAGCAGCTTTACTTTACGAGAGCAGACGTACTTGGATGTAAGTGTGCAGTGTGTTGGTCTACAATTAGCTTAAAAAGGAAAATCCACAAGGGTTTTTATGGGAAGAGAAGGAGCGCTGCCGGTGTGATATGAATGCACTTGTTTTGGAGCTTGACTTTAAAGCAGAAGCCTGTCTCAACCTGCAAAAAAGCCCTCAGCTACAGGATGAATGCATCCAAGTTCATGGTGCTGCTGCAAACAACAGATTTTTGTAAACAACTCTGAACAATGAAGCCAGTTTAGTGGATATTATCAATTACATATCTATTTCAATCCATCAGTTGAAGAAAATACTGAAAGAAAACACATAATTGAACCAAATAAGCCAACATAAATGATTGAAAGTAAGGTAATGAAGTTTAGTAGGGAGACTGAGGCTAGTTGTCACACTTTTTTACTCAAGTCCACAATTAAAAAAATAAAGTTAATTAACACACATTTAGTTTTGTGACAACATGCCCCAATAGCAGTATAGGGATTGTGACAAACCTGCCATTATTATTGACTTTTCAGCTAAATTTAAACCATAAGACAATTATGACAAAAAGATTACAAGAAATAAAATAGTTTCCATTAAAATAAAATTAAAATGTGAGAGCATGAAAAAATGCCTTCACTTAAAGCATAGTTTTGGGATAGAATTTAATTTAAGTGGGTTAAATTTAAATTTAAGTACAGGTACTGTAGTTTGAAACCAAGATACCAAATCACTGTTTAAAATATTGTACAGCTGAATGTTTGACCTAAAACCTTACAGATGGTGAGATACAACACTTGAGACAACACACCTTCTCAGCATAGCTTGAGAATTGTTAAATGAATGTCCAATTTTAGTCTACTTTCATTTGACCCTGCTATCAAAATACTACCAAAGGTCAGAAAAAGTACTGAAAAAAAGTCGCTTTGAAAATCACTGGCACTAATCAGCCATGACATAAAGCCAAAATACCAATGTGACCATTCAAAACATGACCTTCAGGTCACTGGTGAATGAAAGAGGTGACCACTGGCAAAGAAAATCAGGTCACCGTGCTATTTATGCTTGATATGAAGAATACACTGGATAACAAAAAGTCACAAAACAGCAGACAAGTAAAAAGAAAAGGGAGAAAGAAAGAGGGTGAACAAAAACACAAGCCACCAGATCATCCATCCAAAACAAACACACACATCACAAAACAAAAAGCTACTAAATTCAAGAGTGATAATTCAACAAAAAAAGAAACTCTTAAATAAATAGTTCACCCAAAAGTAAAAAGTCTGTCATCATTTACTCTCATGTTGTCCCAAACCTCTATAACTTTCTTTATTCAGATTAATACAAAAGATGCATTTTTGAAGCTCCAGTCCAAACTGATAAAAATAACATAATAAAATAACTTTTATGATACTTTTAAAGCTTAAAAATGTACTCATTCATCATAACTCCACGGCAAAGAGAGACCAGCACATTTCTTAAACATTTCCGTGTTCCGCTGATCAAAGTCATACGGGTTTGGAACAACGAGGGTGAGCAAATGATGACTAATTTCCATTTATAACTGTGCAATTCCTTTCAACCAAACACCAAGCATTGTATACATTATTTAAAGGTCAAATGAGGATCACAAAATACCAGCACGGAGACAAAACCACAAAGAATGACAAAGCTGCAACACTTGCAGCTCAAACTTGCATTTCTAAAGAAAAATATGCCATACAATCACTGCTCAGTAGAGCTCACATGAAAGACAGATCAGATAAAAGTTTCCTCCTTCCTTATAAACAACCTCTCTCTCATCACCTCAAAACTCTCAGTCTGGCATGGTCACTGTAACTTTTCTGACATATTCCCACTCTTTCCCCCGGCAGCCTGCGAGCCGGACTTCCTAGCAAGAAAACAAAGGAACCAGAGGAGAGAGGAGCGCTTTGAAACTGTGCAGGACGTTTAACTAACAGCTGAGCTTAACCCCCCCCTTCTTCATCAGGGAACTGTTACACTATGAAACTGCAATAACTTGTGCCTCCTAGCAGTTCTTTGTCTTTCTTTCCTACAGTTTTGAAGGTCTGCCACTTACCTCTCAGACAGAACATGGTCTCCTGCCTCTCCCACTGTGTGTTGGTATTTTCTGGGAAGTGTGTCAAGAGTTTTGGAGCGCACTGTCCTCACACAGCCCCCCGTCCCTCCAGAGCACAAACACTCACAGGTTCATAGACACTATCTGTAACCCCCTCCCTCGGTTTCACCCACGTATACAGACACACACGGTGGCAACCAGCCAGCTCATGCGCCCTGGAAAAGTGTTATCCAATCCCAACATACTCCTGCCGTTCCACAGGACTGACACTATTCCAGGACAAAGGACAGAGAGGTGGAGAGATTGCGGGAGAGAGAGACTGACTCAGTCAGGGAGACCCCCTCCTTTTCTCTCTCTCTCTCTCTCTCTCTCTCTCTCTCTCTCTCTCTCTTTCTCTCTCCATCCTCAGCTGCAGCGCTGCAGAGCATTGATTGTTTTTAACTTAGCTGTCAGCAGTTCTGCCATCAACGGCTTTTGACACACACAAAGTTAAATATAGCCAAATCCCCTCGACTCAATTGTTTGCTACAGAAATAAAAGGTCATTGTCCTACATACTGTCATCTGCCGCTAATGCTTAGACTAATAGCTAAAACACACAAAACATGCTTTGTGTGATGCATTTTGATAGCAGTTAGTGATTCTGATTATAGCATATGAGTGCAAATAGACCTGAAAGCAGATTCATATCTACAGATGTAGCTTCCTCAAGCAACATTTATCAAATCAAACCGAATTCAAGCACAATAACTTAGAAGGTCATTGCAGTAAAGTTAACCGTTATCAATGCTATTTCAGTTTTACTTTAACTAAAAAGCTGGTGTTGACTGTGGACTGAGATTAAATCAGATGGCTTGACTAATTCAATCAAACTGTTAATCTTGGACTCCTCACAAGGAAATCCCACACTATCACAAGGTAAATACAATCATGTTGCTGGGAACGTTTAGTTTTACATCCTGCTGAAGTTCTCTTGTATTTTAAAGGCTATATTACGGAACTATCACAAACAGACAAACACAATGAAAGATGAGTGTCCTCTACTTACCTCTGCAATGAAGAGGTGCATAAACCCACTCATCATATTCATCATCAGCATCCAGCTGCTCTCTGTGGCAGGGGAAGAAGTGTCCACGCTGCTCGGACAGAGAAGAAAGACCCAGGCCACCAAGGGTTCGAGGTATAGGGTGACTTTTGCCCTCTGCCCACTCTCCCCTGTACCTCAGAAAGCTCCTCTCTCCCCACATCTCCCAGAATCAGCGCCAACAAAAAGCCTGACTTGAGCCGAAGTGTCAGGCACGTCTCCAAATGGCCCACATTTCCTTAAGAAACGCAAACAGCAGCTTAGATCACTCTAACATGGAGGGATTTATAATAAACATGCTTGCAAAAACCAAGGGCGGGTCCTTCTGGAATATCCATGCTTCAAAATATGATGTTGAAATTGTCTTCATACGCTCCACTACAAGCAGTGCTGGTTTTCAACATGCCTTTAAGCTCCAAAAATACATTCTTCTTTCTTTGTCTAAATGAGTTTGACTCCAAACAAGTAAAGTGCAGTCTCAGGAAGTCCGAAGCGAAACTTTGGACAGAAAGTGAGGAACTTCCTCTGCTCCCCAGCTGTGACACGTCGGTGCGTTGGCGTGAGCAAGTGTGTGTGTGTGTGTGCATATACTCATGTGCTCCTCCAGCACGGCTGCTTCTGCTCCAGCAGGGTTTTTGCATGCTCTTTCTTCAGGTGGAGAAAAATAAACTCCATCTGTTATGCTGCTCAATGAACACGGCGATTTGAAGTAATATTGAACTGAACAGCTCCTGGCTAAACCACACGATTCTCAAACTCCTTCTGTCTAATCTTCAAAAGGCAACACTTATGGCGTGGTCCACACGCACCCTATAAATAGATAAAGCAGATTAATTGCTTTAGAGTGTCTTGCAGGTGACAAGCTCTTAGACCTGACTTATAATGAATTATGCATGATTAATTATCATAATTATAAGCATAATTATGAAAATACAGCAGAGAACAGGCTAAAAAGCAAAGAAGACATTTAATGTTACTTGTTTAGTGACTGATAAGCTGCACTGATGGTACTATGCATCACTTTCTGATTAGATTTTCGGGAAGAAAAATATACATCAATCTCTCTTTGTTCTAGAGTCTCTTGAGGCATAAATACATTTTTAGGAGGCCCAAAACTACAGAGAAATTAAATATTTATGTGATCCATAAATCAGCTAATGCCACAATAAAACATGCATTTCAGAGATCCAAGCGGCGACTAAAATGGTCGCTAATATGACAAAAATAAATGCAGCAATAATTTAAGATCTAGCAGAGATTACACAGTGTAAGCCCATGCATTTTCGTCAGGTCTCTTGAACCAGTTTTTGTTTATAAGTCAAAAGTGAATTTGAATGTAACAGTCATAGATTTGCTCATGAATTAGCAGTTTGAGTCATTACTGACTCCATGACCAAACCATGAGTCATTTTGTTGTTATTTCCAATTTTGTTCTAAAAAAATACGGAGAAAAAAACTGAATTTTTCAAAAATATGTTATTGGCTATGCACATGATGTGCAACTGTTGAATCAATTGTAAAATAATATTTGCTTTACTGTATGAGGGTTTGAACTATAATCAAGACAATATTTGTTTGTTTTTTTATATTCTGGGGGGTGGGGGGGGGGGGGGGGGTGCAGAAAACAGAGTGACATTTATATTGCACAAATAATATATTTTTTAACATATTTAAATCAACTAGTTACATTTGTGAACTTCATCTAAATGAATAATTTTTCTTTGCTGGTGGAAAGTTTCTTAGGTCATATGTTCCTATTGACCCATATCTGCGCCACCAATAAGATGAATGTTTGATATGGTGAGAACATGTGAGCCAGTTGGCATAATCAGCTCGCCCATAGTCAAATGTTTCCCAAAAGCCTTGACATCAAGAGCAATCCAAATGTTCCAGACTGCTTTACATGGCATTAATCTGGAATACATGCTGACCCTAAAACACTCTGTGATGGCGCCAAAACAGTTCCAAAGTCTTAAATGCCACGATTTTGTACTGCATAATTCAGCAGTAATGCATATAAATTGATGATGGCTTTAAAATTCCTTAGATTAATTCACATGAATACATTAATTGTATTTACATCTATTCAATCAATGACACTGGTTAGCCTATGTCCTCTTGGTATGCTGAGATGGATAATTAATGTCTAGTTTCTGTTTGCTGCTGAAGGAATTTCCGATAATGTCAGAATAAAAACCTGAAACAATAATATAGCTAATTAGTTTAGGCACTATTAGAATATTTTCTGTTTATGACAGAGAACATAAAAGTACACCATGTCTAGCTGCTAATCATCTACCTTACATCAGGACTATGCAGACATCATATTTCAGCCACAAGAGGGCGCTATAGACCCAAACATTGAATTTAATATTTGCCTAAAAAAATACTTCATTTTAGCCAATACATTTGTTAATGTCACCCAAGCACTAACTCAAGACATCATTACGTCCCTAACAGGCAGCCTTTCCTCATATTCAGGGATGATATTCAAGCCTTTAAAAACATAAGATAAGGCATGATAAAATAAAGAGAGGGAAACATAAAACTATCAAGCCAGAGCTGTAACAGATACCTGATTCAGAAGCTTATCCGACACGCTTAGCTACCTTCCTGTTTACACAAGATTTTCACTCTTGGTCAGTGTTTTTGTACCATTTTGCCCCATATTTCCTTCAGGGACAGACAGGGAACCCTGCTACAAAACACATCAGTGTCCTTGACTTTAATTATACAATTTTAGATATAATTTTCAATAACAACATCCATTTTAAATAAGAATAATATTAATTTTGTTTTTAGGTTATAGTTTTGGCAAGAAGGTTTCCATATAAACAAATAAAAGCAAATCCAGTTAGTTTGGATTTCTATTTCAGTGCATAAAGAAGCATTGAATAAAATGTAATAAAGCTTATGGTTTTCAGTAACTATTGGAATCTCTACAATGAGTGTGTGCTCAGACTGCAAAGTTTAAATGAAATGGAAATGCAATCTCTTCCAGACAGACCACAACTGCGGTTTTACTTATGAGCTGGTCGACTCCACCCAAATAAACCAGTGAATTCAAATCTCTCCTTCCATCCACACATACACATTCCAAAAAATTTATGTTGGCGGTATTTTGAAAGGCACTTTCCTCACTAAAGCAGGACTAAACAACCCCAGGATCAGATGTTTTCAATTAGGATTAAATTGGAAAAAGGGAGCAGCAACAGCAGTGGAGTCGCATATTTCAACCATAAAGTCCAGTCATATGGCCTTGGCAAACTAATAAGCCATTAAAACCACATTAAGGGGACTTGTTAAACCATAACTAATGACCTCAACTGACAAATTTACCCCCGAGCCCCTACTTTTACCTGTCATCCACCTTTGTTTTGTTTCTCTGGGTTGATTCTGTTTGTTTTTGTAAAAAAAGAAAGAAAAAAAAAAGCTCTTTTTGGAAACCGGTCACAACAGTTTCTATAGCCTAAATTATTATGTGACTTCATTCATCAATACCATGGAATATACATATTTATTGCCTTACAATGCATCCATTACAAACTATACTATAATATAATGTGTTTATTGTAATTTTCACTGCAAAGTGCAAAACATAATTTTAATAATCAGCAGTTGTATCTTGTTTTCCAATAAAAAGATCTAAATACTTAAAACAAAATACATTTATCTGACAAATTTGTTGCGGGCTGCAGCTAACGATTATTTTGATAATCGATTAATCTGTCGATTATTTTTTTGATTAATCGGATGAAAAAATATTATAAAAAATGTTTTTTATTAAAAATTTATTTTAATTCATTATTTTAAACAATGTTATTGCAAATCCTGTCCCAATGCTGTCCTCAACAATGTGTAATATGGCTAAAGTATGGTTAAACAAATAAACAATTAGTGAATGCTGAATGTATGCAGGATGCTGTAGGCCTACATTAGCAACAAACAAAAAGTTTTAAAATACAAACATTACATTCTAAACCTAAATACAACTGATTGCTTACTATTTTAAAGCAGAAATTAAAACGACTAAATAAAATATGATAAGAAACAAAAACTAACGCACAAAATGTTAACGAGGCTATGAGGAACACATTCACTCGTAGGAACATATAATAATATTACATTCATAGGGTGTCCCACACCACTTTTTGCCAGGGTCGATATTGTCCCCCACCACTTTTGAAACATCTCGCGGCATTGAATAACCACAATATTCAGAAGTAAACAGTGTAGCTGACTTAATGTTTAGCTGACAGAATGTTTATTTTTAAACCACAAACCTCTCTAATGTCAGAATGTTTGTTTTTAAACCACAACTTAAAAGTGTGCTTCTATTTCCGATTATATTCAACGATATCTTTTGAATTTCTAATCCAAACAACGTCAAACTTGGCACTGCACTTACTCGTGCCCGTAGCAATCATTTCGTTCGTTTGTTAAATAAGAGGCGTTCTAGCGCTGAAATGTGTTGTTTTTTAAATCAAGTGATCAAAGTGCTCATTGCCGCTGCCATCAGTGGCGCGGATAGTGTTCTCTTGTGGCTCGCGCACACGCCGCGCACTGTCTTCACTCGGACACGCGGTTCTTACTCTATTCATTCCGGTGAAATCACAAAACAAATGCACACAAACGTGTCCCTGCTTGATATTCAACCACTGATAAACATAATCGGTTTTGATGATAAAAAAAAAAAACTATACGAGTGCGGATTAGAACCCAGAACCTCTGACACGCTTGGCATGAAGTTGAGCCACTGGACCATTGACGTACAGTAGCACAGGCTACAATAGTCGGTTCATGTATTCACGTGAAAATTCTCGCCACTAACAACATATATTACATCTCATTATACGACCAATTAAACCCAATGTACTATTTAAATCGATTGCTGGACATCGTAATGTTATTGTTATTAAACGTGTGACTCACACGCATCTGTCAAAGAACGACAGGGCAAGACGCGGTAAATGCTTAAATACTTTTGTTTGAAGCGCTTATTAATAGAGCATTCTCATGTTTCGACAACTTGGATCATGTACCTTTCTCGAGGCAGCTCGCCCTGTGTCCTCCGCTATTTTCCATATGCGTTTTGTCCATATAAATGTGTTATTCCGATGTGACTGGCTGGTAGTTTCCCGATCACAGCGCGCAGACGCGACTAATCGATAATCAAATTCGCTGTCGATTATTTTCATTGTCGATAATAATCGATTTGATTTAGTGTGGTTTATGCTTAAAACAAGGAGGGAGGGGGGGCATTCACAATTGGATGAAAAGGGGTAAAAATATATAAATTCTCTGAAAACAATAGGCCTACGACCTTTCACATTTTTCCTTCTCAGTAGCCATACATTTATGATTTGACCTCTACTGAGCACAATAAAATAAATTTGGCTTAATTTTATATAACTTATAAAACATATTTGTTTCAAGCCTTTATATTTTCATCTGTTGCTGTTTTCCTCTAAACTAAAGTCTCTCAAACAA